TTATATTCTAATGTACTTTGAATATATTTACAGATTATAATTTTTATTGTCATTGTATACATTATATTTTTTCTTATATTGTATTTCATTTCTTATCAATTTATATTCTTATAATACGCAACGTAAAAGCATTTTATAGCAATATGAAGTTACATCCAGATGTATATGATAAATTATATTTGTGAGTATATTTAATGTATGCTTTTTTAAAATTAAATATTAATATGTTGAACATATTAAGTGATATATCAAATATTGATATTTTAATTATATTTCAAATAAATTGCTTCTTCAGATATATTACACCTGAAAAATTTTATGTAGAACCTATTGGAACTAAAGTGCTACTTGTAGTTGATAGAGTGAGTCAGCAAATTTATACACAAGGTAATTAACAACATATTTTTATTTGATATTTTTGACATAACATAAATTTTTTAAAGATTTCATTCATATTTTAGCTGGTACAGCTAGTCAAATTCCCTCAACTGCAAGCCGTAGAAAAATATGGGGTATTGTAGGAACTATAAGGCTGCTAGCATGCCGATATCTTATAGTGATAACAGATGCTATAGATGTTGGAACTATAGCTGGTCATCAAATTTTTAAATTAGTTTCAACAGAAGTTATACCATATACCAAATCTTCATTACATCTTAGTGAAAAACAAGTGCAAAATAATTCAATATATGTAGAAATGATCAAATCTATATTAAATACACCTTATTTTTATTTTAGTTACACATATGATCTTAGCCATACAATGCAAAAACTTCATAATACCAATCCTGAATTTTTACAGGTCATTATTTGCTTTATTTATATTTAATAATTATATTATATTTATTTATTATTATTTGAAGTTTATTTTTCCATTTTTTTTTTATCAAATAGATGCCACTTCATGACAGGGCAGATTCTAGATTTGTTTGGAATGCTTATCTTCTACAAGATTTAACATCAAGACCTGAACAGTATAAATTTTGCCTACCTATCATTCATGGATGTATCCTTGTAAAAAGATAAAAACAAAAAGAAAAAAAAATATATATATTATAGTTTATATCTTTATAAAATTTATATTTTCCTTAATGTTTATTTAGTTGTTTCATTAAATATTATTACTGTAACTGGTAGCACATCATTTAATTTGGGTATAGTATCTAGACGTAGTGTGCATCGTGCAGGAACAAGATTATTTTCACGTGGTATAGATTCTACTGGTAATGTTTCTAATTATGTAGAAACAGAACAATTAGTTGAATTCAATGGACATCGTATGTCTTTTGTACAAACAAGAGGTTCTATTCCTTTATTTTGGTATCAGGCACCAAATCTAAAATATAAACCTAAACCTCAATTGGGTACTCATGAAGATCATCAAACTGCCTGTGCACGACATTTTGAAACCCAAATATTTCATTATGGAAAACAAATTTTAATCAATTTAGTAAGTTTATAAAAAAAATTAAAAGAATTTTTTTTTAATTTTTATAAATATTAATTATTTTTAATATTGGAATTTTAATATAGATTGATCATATGGGTTCAGAAGGTACACTAGAAAAAGCATATCACAATGTAGTACAACGAATTAACAATGAGAACGTTCGATACGAAAGTTTTGATTTTCATGCTGAATGTAGAAGATTAAGATGGGATCGATTGAACATGTTACTTGATCGATTAACTCATGAATTAGAACAAATGGGTTATTTCTTATTATTAGAAGATGGAACATTATTATCGGCGCAAGATGGTGTTTTTCGTACCAATTGTATCGATTGTTTAGATAGAACTAATGTTGTTCAAAGTATGATTGCAAAGAGAGTTCTAAATGATGTGTTATCAAGGTTACAAATTCTTAGAAAGATCGAAGATCATCCTAGTGTTGAGGAACATTTTAAACGGGTAGGAATACAATTTTATTTATATAAAATGTTCCTTTTTTATATTTTAAATTTTTATTAAACTTTAATATAATTTTAGATTTGGGCTGACAATGCAGATATAATAAGTATTCAGTATTCTGGTACTGGCGCATTAAAAACAGATTTTACTCGAACTGGAAAGCGTACTAAATTGGGTGCAATGAGAGATGGTTTGAATTCTTTAACAAGATATTATAAAAATAATTTCACCGATGGTTATAGACAAGTATACTATTTTTTTATAAGAGATTTATCACTTTTATATATGTAATAAGATCATATTATATTTATTTAATAGGATTCATTGGACTTATTTTTGGGTCGCTATATTGTACAAGATGGCGAATGCACGCTAATTCAATGTCCTTTGGAATCGGAAAGAAATTGGCGTTATGCTACATTTCCTTTAGTACTTCTTGTTGCATCATCCATGCTAGTTGCTCATATAATCTTACCTTCGAGATATACTACTGAAATTTTATTGTATATATTATTTTGGGGTGCTATGGTAGCTGGTACATTTGCAACTATAATTCATCATGGCAAGCAATATGTAGATAAACCTAAATTGCTTTAAAAAGTTTTCAGATAGAATATATTGTATAACATTTCTAAATTGTGAAATGTTAAAAATTATTTATTATTTTTCACCATCTAATAATAATTTTCAAATATATTTTTCTGTTAAGATTTATTTGAAAGAATCATTAGATAGTCTAATATTTAAATTTATAAAATCTACCTTTACATTCATATTATGTATGTTATAAAAATTTTAAGTCTAATAATATGTATCATTGATGAATTAGATATAGTAAAAATGAACAAATGTGTTCTTATCGATGAATGTATATAGATTGACAATGTAATTAATATTTTTAATCGAGGTATTGTTAATATCAATGCATTTTTAAATAGAATAAGCTTTTATAGCTTTTAAAGAAACATACTTGTTCCTTTTTCAGTTAATTTGACACATTTTAAAAAATATTGTAAAATATTGTAAAAAATTTTCAATTTTGAGCAACATTTGCTCGTATATAAAATCAATTTATATTCTATAGCGTTTGATATTTACCGTCCACATACATATAAATTACTTATTATTATTTGGTCATTATAATAATATTTGGTTATTTCTTTTAAATTCTAACATTACAGATATTCGTAATCTATAACATATATTTGCAATTTAAACAAAATTGGAAAATTAATAATATATTAATACTGATTTTTTTGTGAAAAAAATAAATTTTAAAAAATAATATTAATGATAGTTTTGTAATTTATAAGCATTCAAAAATTTAATAAAAAACTGAATTGCATTTTAAAACGTACAAAATATATAAATTTCAAATATTATTTATATTTATATATAAATGTATATAAATTATATATTTAATATAAAAATAGAAAAAATATTTTATTTTGTTTCATTAAAATTTTTTATTAAAAAATGATATATAATGAAATATATTGTAAAGATTATACATACAAAATTTGATAAAATTTATAATAAATTAAACAAATTATTATATTAAGACAAAAATATTACCTACAAAAATTTAAACATTAAATCTAAATATATTTTATACATTATATTATATATTATAAATTATAATATACATGTATGTTATATTTTTGATTTATAAAAGATTTTTTGCTTTTTTTATTTTAAAGAAAATGATATCACTGTATCAATATTTCTTTTTCTTGGTTTGCATCATTTTTTCTTTTTTTAAAAAAAGATTTGAGTAAAACATAATATTTTATAGACAATTATTTTATTATATTTATTTATATATAGAATGTTAATATGTTCATAGAATATCTACACATCGATAGAAAAAATCGATTTTAAAGAAATAAATATAAAAAGTGATATATAAAAATGTTAATTGAAATTTATTTATTAAATTAATTGAAATTTGCGTTAGATGAAATAAAGCAATATAATGCGACGAAAATATAGTTTCATTCTTTTTTCATTTCAATTCGTCTAATACAAATTTTAATTATATTTATATAACTTAATAAATAAGTTCAATTGATATTTTTACATATATTAATTTTTATGTTCGTTTCATCTTCCAATGATTCCAAAAATATCTTATATAATATAAATACTAAAAAAACTATAATATAAAAACTATAAGTATCAAATAGATTATATATTAACATTCTATATAAGCAAATAATTTTAAGTAAACTATACTATATTATTATATTATATATGTTAATATTAAATATTAAATAATTAAATATATAATTTAGAACTATATATATATATATATATATATATATATATAATAA